GATAGAAATCATAGAAATTAGAGAAAGTTGAGATCCATGATCGACAGGATCATCATTCGCTAATTGTAATTGGCGCAGTATTAATGCGTCATAACTAGACTATCACTAACAACGTAACAGCAATTGTGTACAACAAAGGACATTTGCATCAGAGAAATCACAATACTCGGAGGAAAGTTAATGTATAAGGTTTTTAATTAAAAAAACGTGATCTCATAACAATCATATTTACGTACCATAAATTCTATGAAACTTTGCATTAAATAAGAAACTTTTGTTATCATAGTACCGAATATTGGTGAGTTAATTGAATCATTGTTGCGCATTGCCCAGATTTGGACCCAGTTTAGACCAACCAGCGTCAAGTATAGAAGAACCATTAGAGTCATTATATCCACCTGATTTTCGGGAGTTACATAATCTAAATGCATGATGAACAACAAGAGAAAATCTTATTCAGATTTCTACGTTTGTTTGTATTAAAGGATGAGAAAAGGTCAGATGAAAGAATTTAACGAACTTATGCGTTATGATAGTTCATCTAATTTGACAATTTTGACAATATGAATGAATTGATTGCATGCTCTATGTGTTTCAATATACTCTATACATCCCTCCATATCACGGGGACCTTACAAAAAAGGAATATGACATGTGGTCTGAATACGAAATAATTGGTAATGAAAGTTCCGGGCGAGTCGATTATGCAATCAAGGTATTGAATTTGTTATTTGGCAATTTTTCCTAGAGGTCGTGGTCCCATTGACTTTTTTCGAGAATATATGAACTAATATTGTACTATCCTTCTAGGAGGCTGAGAATCTTGTATTACAGAAGACAAAGTACAGCGTAGCATCTTCCTCAGAATATAAAGCAACGCGAGTGTTCATACGAAGTGGAAATGAAAACAGGTCTACTTACATGGCATTGTGATATCGGCTAATGATTAGCATTTCTTACCTTATTCTTCAGGTATTTCTCAGGCGAATGAAATCCCCCATACCATCGAATTTAACAAAAATGCCTTAGATAAAGTTTCTGAAGAATATTAAGCGTTGCGTAATGGATTGAAAAAATTTATATAGACCAGCAAGATAGAAACTTCTTGTAATAATGGGAGACGACCTCATCTTATGTAATTTTTGCATATTCTATGTAACGGTCATCTGAAAATAATCGATCACTTGAAAATACATACATACGAAAGAATAGGTAATTATGTATCTCAAAATAAAAGTTTTTATTTATTTAGTAGATGTTCAATATTTCAAATTTTATTTTGCTTGTGAGAAAGTATGTATACTAATTTAATACAGCAAATATGATTTTCGTATAATCTTTAGAAGCAGAATTTCACTTTTCAAATCCCGTTCACCATTCTATCACCACCCAAACTTTTCAGTCCGAAAATTAATTTTCGACCGAAGTTAAAATTAATTATTTTAACTGATTAAAAAAAACTATAACCGGTTAGCAAGATAAACGTCTTAACCAGTTGATTAAATTTTAACCAGTTCCAACCTCTAGTTCTAATAAGAGCACCTTTGCAGTTCTTTCTCTCAAGTTAGGTTGAGCTTCAGTTCTTCTAACGATAGTTTTTTGTGCACTTTCGTGCTCATTAATTTTTTTTAGTTCGTTGAGCATTTTCCACAGATGGTTCATATTTGTTATATTTGTTAAATCTTCCTAAAAATATTGAGAAAAAAAAACGTAATCTGTAAGTAATAAGTAGAAAAGGCAGCACAAGGAATCAGTACACCCAAATAAATAACTTGCACTTCAACAAAATTACATACTTTTTTAACCTTTATTTTTTTTTTGCTTGATGATTCTTGTAATATTTTGTTTTATTTTGTTAAAGTAACTGTAAAAAACCCTATGCGTGAATGTCTGTTGACTAACCGAATGTTATTTCCATTTTGTTGACGATTACGGGTTGCATTTAGTATTTAGTGCCCAACTGTCGAAATCCTCTAATGACTTATACTTTGGTCTTTTGTTGTCGAAATATTTTATGTATAAATTGTCATTCATAATAAAAAAAGTTGTGTGTGGTGCAATGACCTTCAAATGACTTCATAATACCTCAAATGACCCATTTTAAGTCAAATGACCAAGGTCATTTAAAAAAATAATAAATGACCTTATATTTAGCCATCACTGGTTGTGGTGAATGAAAGGAAGTCTGAGCTTTTATAATATTATAATTTAATGGGTAAAAGAAGTCTTATTTTTTATACTTTTATAATTTAAAAAAATTATGAGGGATAAAAACGGACGAAAGGCAGTAAGGCAGAGTATTTATATCCGTTTTACCAATAACTTTGTTTAGTATGAAAATTCCAAACATGTAATTTCATGCGGAATTTCGCAAACATATTATTGCCGATATTTGCTGATCAATATCGACTCGACGCGTAATATTTTGTTCTAAAATATTCCATACTGATACAGAGCTATTTATGGTAATAATAATAACTGTCTGTATGTTAGATGTTTGCTTTACGATCACCTGAAATGCGCAGTACGATATCGTTGCCGAAAGAATAGGGGTTGTGCGGTGCGACGTGCGAAACGCACATCATCACTGTTCGAAAAAGAACAACCTTTATCCGGACAAGAACTGATAAGTGACTTTGCTTTGAGCAAGAGGCGGGATTTTCTTCGGTCAAGCTACTATCATACTAACAAAAACAATATTCGGCCTATCTTGCAACGCAATTCTATCCGATAAGAAAAGAAATGTTATAGAAAAAGTACATTACGCGTCATTGATTTTATATCAATACTCTTAAACTTTCCATCTTTTGTTTCTTTATTTCTTATCTTATTATCTTATTTTCACGAAACATTTTTTCTTGCGAACAATTTTTCTTGAATTTTCGCGAACACAGTTTCTCGCAAGAAACTGTCTCACAAAATATTCTCACACACTTTTTTTTTTAAAAAAAAAAGTTTCTTACGTTTTATATTGTATAATAATATTAACTATATATATTATTTCTTTTTTTTTTATGTTTATCACTTTTATTAGAATCTTTTTATTATTCTTTTTAACCTTATTTTCCTAGACTGGACACCCCAATTTTATCCGGTTAAAAGTTAAATGTATGTGTTATGCGCTTTTGGCGTTGGGACAGGCGGGTTCTATGTTTGAATTTTGATAAAATTTTTAGGAACAAATACTTATTGGCTAATAATAATATATTGTATTAATTTACCTTTTATTTCTACGAGGAAGCTTTATTTGCATTTGAATCTGACTGCAAATGTTTTTTTTTTAAAAAATAATTTAGAATAGGAGTATGATGTTAAAATGTTATAGAATCATTTATGAAAAATTTTGGGATATAGGTAAAATTTAGAATTAATCCCTTGATTATTGAACAGACCGGCATAAATTCCAAATAGAATTGAACAAATCATAAATGTTTTTAGCCTTCTTTTATTTTGTTCATTAGAAATCTATGATTATTCCTTACGATATTGATTAATTAGAACACTTGTAATGAAACTTTCTCCAATATAAACTAATGTTAATATAATTCTTCTGATTTTTTGAAGATACATTCACAATAGAACAAATATTAAAATTGTTAAGTTAAATTTCAGGATTACGATTACAGTCGGACCTCGATATACCGATATTTTATATACCGATATACTATTAAAAACTTGATATACCGTTACCGATAAATTTTATTTTCCCACTATATTTGAGTCATATAAATATCGTCATAAAGGTATTTTTATATATATGTCCCGACCAATCGTTATATAGGTTTGAATGTATATCTTTTATAACAACCTTAACTTTTTTTAATTATAATAGAATGTTTGGCAAGTTATTTCAGAATTTATTCTTATAAAATAGTTTTATGAAATAACATGAATAGAAATTTAAAATGATTTGTAGAATTCTAAGCCGGTCATGTCGACTCGGTTATTGAATCGAATTGAATTTTCGATCGGGTCGAGGTCGTAATTTAAAAACCCGCAGACCCGAATTAAAATATTAAAATCAACCTGTCGGGTCAAGATTAAAGATGGTCAGTCGGTCTTTCGGTCCTGAACGGTCCTGCCCGGTCTTTGGAAAAGTTATAAGGAATGCAACTTTGAAATTTTGAGGCGCAGCAAGTATGGCTAAAGACCAATAAATGTCAAAATTTGGCCTTTATACTTCTTTTTTTAAGACCAGCAGAAAAACCTACCTAGCTCTAAATTGGGTGATTGATTGAGACCAAACTTTACCACTTTTCGGTCTTTAATCAGTTTTTTTTGTGCCACAAAAAATTGGGAGCACAGCCTTATTAATTTTCCGAAAATTTCCTAAAGACCGATCAAGACCGATCAAAGACCGCAGGACCGACCATCTCTAGTCAAGATCTCGAAACTATTTAAATTCTTTTTAATTTATTTAGATGAAACGTATATTACGAGCGATTTTGCAGATCGGCAAATTATGAAAATTCATGTAGGAAATGATATTAACCTAACTGAGTTAATTTTATTATATGTCAATAGTGTTCATTTAAAGTTAGAATATTTCTTTTGAAAAAACTGATTTAAATCTGCATATTAACCAAACGATTCATACCAGCTTGCGTTAGCTTTCACTTTTTGAGCAAAATTTCAGAACAAAACATTTGAATTTTTAATTTCATTATGTATTTAAGTTTGTTACAAAATATATAAATAAAAGTCTTTATTGTATTTAAAAAGAGCTAAATCATCAAAAACTGAGAGTTTATTTGTTTTTAATCGCAATATAAAGGGAAATATAAATTGAAATACAAATAAAGGAGCTAAATCATCAAAACACGGTGAATTAATTTTTAATTGCAATATAAAGGGAAATACAAATAAGGATCAAAAAACGGGGATTTATTTTTTAATCGCAATATAAAAAGGAAATATAAATCAAAATACAAATAAAATGAATAATGAGATAAGAAGAAGTTAAAAAATTTGTTGAAAACGAATGAAATTATAAATAAAATACAACAAAGTTGTTAAAAATTTTTAGGTCCCCGAGCTTATATATATATCTGATGAACGTTAAAGATCGTGAACCTTTCAACGTTATATTTTTACATAATGCAGCATTGATTTGTAGGACGTTTTGGACTTTCGGTAACATTTTGACTTGTCGTAGTAGTAGTATTTAAATCAGAGATAGGAGCAACGAGAATAGAGATTACTTTTGTTGGATTCATTTTTTTTTTTTTAAAAAAAAATAGATTTGTGTAAGTTGGTATTATAGTAGCAGCTGATTAACAGATTCAAATTTTATGTCAAAGATATTTGGTTGAGTTGTTGAAAAACGTTTTACGCATTCGCATATTTATAGAGTTTTCACTTTTAACAAAACAATATTAAGAAGAAATTTGAAATAAGATTGTCCCGATTTAAAATAATTTTTAGTTCCAAGAA